GTTATTATGTGTATGGAGGCAGTATGTGGAAACACTCTGTACCTTCTGCTCAGTCTGGCTATGAACCTAAAATTCTTTTAAAAAATAAAGTCTATAAATTTTTAAAAGTAAGTTTTATCTTTATTTACAAGTGAGCAAACTGAAACCCTGAAAATTGCAAATGATTTGTTCAAGATCATATAGCTGGTAATATACTGCTTAAGCAAAGTCTATACCTGTCCATTTTTAAAGTTTGTCATCTTTCCACTTAGGACATGCATTAAACGAGATTGAATGCCGATAGAGCAATAGTAAGCCTGTTGTAGAACGTAGATGATGGGGAGCTGAACTAGCAGTGATAATGGAAATGGAGAGATTTAAAGAAGTGATATGGCTGGAGATTTGAAAGAACTTAGAGCCTAATGGGAAGAAGGTAGTAAGAGAGAGGAAGTATTAAAGATACCCATTTAACTGGGAGAATATCTTCATTTGGTCACTAAATATTTAATGCATATTTACTATATATCTGATACTTAAGACAGTGGGGATTCAGAACTGAATGAAATAAAGTACCTGCTTTCAAGGAGTTTATATTCTAGTGTGCTCTGACTGGGAATCAAACTAGTGACCTCTTATTTCATAGGTTGGTGCTCAACCATTGAGCCACCCTGGTCAGACAATAATTAAGATTTTTAAGTTGACGGTGTTTGCACTGTGATATGGGTTTGTCTATTGTGCATTCTAGCTCGCTTCATCGTTTGCTCATTTACTTGTGTTGGGTAGCTGATGAACTTAGGAGCACTTACCAAAGGTCAGGTCCATAGGTAATCTGTGAGAGAATCAAGTCTCTTCTGTTACCTATACTTTGAAGACAGCACAAGGTGAATATCGTATTTGCTGTGCCTCATTTATATCAGAAACAGCTTTGGAATTACAGGAAATACACAACTAATGATTTGGAGAAAGCAGCTCAAACCTCTTGCCAAGCCTAATAGAGAGTCATAAAATGCCTTGGTAGAGTTGTCTTAATTGTTACTATGATTTCATAGATTAATATATTCATATTTGTATCTTGAGGGAAAATGCAGAGAATTTACTTAAATTTGACATTTGGTTGATTTGGATGATGGCTTGCTTTATTTCTTTTGATAGCTTGGGTCATACTAGCAGTCACGCTCCCTCATGACTGCTGTGATCATCCCTTAATACGGCTCATGTTGCTAGTTACAATAGAATAATTAAGTTCTTCTATTGGTCTGGGCTATTTCCACAGTGCTATGTTTCAGCTGTAAATCTGAATGTGGGGCTGTCTATATACTGGTGTCCATTTTATTCTTTAGCTAAATAATGAAGAATAGATACTTTCTCATTCAGTGCCTCCTGCCAGTGCATGTCACATATATCTCAGAGTAGCATGGAGATCGAAGGGATACTTAGTTTTTAATCGAATATATTGAGGCATCAGAGAAATATATGTTTTGAAATATAAATAGAACATCATTTTAAAGGAAAAAATAGTCTTTAAATCTCGCAGTTTTCTTTGGCAGAAGAATAATATTAACATCTGGTTACCAAACTGTGGTACCCTTAAGAGAATTGGAGGTGTCCAATTTCCAATAAAATATTGGATTAAGTGACTTCACTTGAGTTTTTATTATTTTAAAGGACATTTAAAAACCTCTGTTCTCCCTGTAATTTGCAGTTTGCATTTATTTGCAAGCAGTGATTTTAGTTTACACGATGAATCACTCTCTTTACCAACATTTGTAGGATACCACAAAAAAATATTGTCAGAATGAAAATGCCAGGTTACCAAAATGCAGCAGACAGGAAGGCACCATTTACTATTAAGGCAGCTCCATCTTTGAATCCTTGTTTTGGGAGGGAGAGAACCGATACCAGTGGGCACATCTTGTACCATGAGCTTTACATATTTTAATCTCCTTTGGGTTTGTAATATGCCTTTAATAAGATAGGCCCATTCATTCTACACAACAATCTGCTGAATTAAGAAGGGCAGATATTGTAATTTCTCTTGCACTAGTTTGGAATTGTAGAGGTTTGTAGGTTGCCTAAGACCACATAGCCAGTCAGTGGTAGAGCTGGGACTAGACCCCAAATTTCTCATCCCTGGTCTATTCCACTGGGTCTCCTGATGCTTTGATTTTTGGTGAGTTGGATGGTAGATCTGTAAGAAACTTTAGTGGTTCATTTTTCTAGTTAGTTCAGCCTTCTCACCTAACATTCTCTTTCAACAGTTGCCAGTCTAGTGCATGTATGTTTCTAATCCCAAGATGAATATTGCCCCACTATCCCACGCAGGTAACAAATGCTAGCAGAGACATTGAACAAGTGTTGATTCTGAGGGTCCAGAGAAAGTTGTGAGTCATGTAAAATTTCCCAGTGACATACAGGGAAAGCCAGGACTGGAGCATTCATTTGTAAACATGAGGATAATAGTACATTCTTCTTAGGCTTGTTGTGAGGATTAAATGGATTACCAGATAATCCATGTGTAAAGTATTTAGAACAGTACCTGACTCAGAGTAGCTGATCAATAAGTATTAGTTTCAGTTTCATGCATTTCTACACTATAAAATTGCCTCTCCAGGTTAAAGTGGGTAGGAACATTAAGCATGAAATACATGGATCTCATGGGCAGGAGTAGTAGAGGAGAAAACGTTTGTTTTTTTATGGAAATTTAAGCACTAAGTTATTACTCTTTTTTATTGTTAATCCTCACCCAGGCATATTATTTACATTGATTTTTAGAGTGGATGGGAGAGGGAGAGACAGAAACATCGATGTGATAGAAACACATAGAATGGTTGCCTCCCACACATGCCCCGACCTGGGGCTGGGGTTCAAGCCAGCAGCCGAGGTACGTGCCCTTGACTGGAATCGAACCTGTGACCGTTCAGTCCGAAGGCCAACAATCTAACAACTGAGCCAAACCGGCCGGAGCAAATGATTACTCTTTAGCAGAAGGGATTGTTATAAGGGGCTGGACTTCATACAGCACATTCCTTAGTCTTAGCTCCTCCGATAGTTCTTAGGGATGTAGATCCCACATTTGTTGGGTTAGTTTTGGGATCTGGAAGGGAGAGAACTGATACCAGTGGCACATCTTGTGTCATATGTTCACAGCTTTGGGAAGGAGCCTTTTAAAAACATTGATTTTAGAGAGAGGAAGGGAGAGAGAGGGGAGAGAGAGAGGAGAGAGAGAAGAGGAAACATTGATGTAAGAGAGAAACATCCATCAGCTGCCTCCTGACACACACCCCAACCAGGGATTGAACCTGCAATCCGGAATGTGCCCTGACCAGGAATTGAACCCACTAATTTTTTTTTTGGCTGATTATATCTTTTTTTAAAAAATTCTTTATTGTTGAAAGTATTACATGTTTCCTTTTCCCCCCATTGGCCTCTCCCCGCCCATTCCCGCCCCCCAGCATAGGCCCTCACCCCCCTACTGTCTGTGTCCATTGGTTAGTGTAGGGAACGATGTTTCAACCAACTGAGCCATACTGGCCAGGGTGGGAAGGAAACATTTTTTATTATTTTGTGTAGATCATGATTTTTATGCTGTTCCAGCAGTGTTTAATGACCTTATTCTCCCATATATTCCTGTCTAAAACCAACAGAACAAAATTGCTTTTCTCTAAGTTAGATCTAAATGTGTTCACTTTGTACTTAATTCACTTATATTAACAGTGGCAATTTTAACTCTTGTTGGAAGTGTTATGCTAACCATGCTTTATTTTTCTTTTTTTAAAACTTTATTTTGAAATAATTTTGAACTTACAGAAAAGCTGCAAAAACAGAATAGAGTTCCTATAAACCATTCAAATAGCATTCTTTAATGTTAGCATTTTGAATAAGCAAACTAATAAATTAGCACAGGTAAAATTAACTAAATTATAGCCCATACACATTTCACTAGTTTTTTCACAAATGTCCTTGGTTTGCTCTAGTATACAATCCAGGATCCCACATTGCACTTAATTGTGTTATCTCCTTAAGTTGCTTCTAATATGTGACTAGTCTTCATCTTTGTCAGTCTTTCTTTAACATTTTTTTTGTAATGAAAGCCTGCTGATGATAAATTCTTTTCAGCTTTAAAAACATTCTTAATTTATTTTTAATTGTGGTAAAATACACATAACATAAAAGTTACCATCGCAACCATCTCAAGTATACAGTTCTGTAGTGATACGTGCGTTCACATTATTGTGCAACCAACCTCCAGAACTCTTCATCTTGCAAACTGAAACTCTATACCCATTAAACAACAATTCCCCATTCCTGCCTCCTCCAATTCCCTGCCAACCACCATTCTACTTCCTGTCTCTGAGTTTGACAAATAAATACCTCATATGAGTGGAAATCATATTGTAGTTGTCTTTTTGTGACAGGTTTATTCACTTAGCATAATGTTCTCAAGGTTCGTATTTTGCATGAACCTGTGTATCAAAGTTTTCCTTCCCTTCTCGGCAGGATAATATTCCATTGTACGTGTATACCTCATTTTGTTTATCCTTTGTTTATCTGTTGATAGAAGCCTGGGTTGTTTTTACCTTTTGGCTATTGTGTAAAAATACCTGTTTAAGTCCCTGCTTTAAGTTCTTTTTGTTACATACCCAGAAGTGGAATTGTTAGTTATTCTATTTTTAATTTTTTGAGGAGCCACAATACTATTTTCCATATCAGCTTTTATATGTCTGAAAAATCTCTTTTTTTTGCTATGATGTTTGAAAAGATATTTTCATTAAGTCTAGAGATTTCTTTCAGAGATTTAAAAATGTTGCTCCACTTGTCTCTCTTGTATTGTTTCCAGTGAGAAGCTTGCTGTCATTCTTAGATTTGTTCCTGTGTAAAAGCTTTATTTTCTCTGGCTGCTTTTAAGATCTTTTCTTTATTAACGTGTTGAAGAAATTGATCATGATGCGCTTGTTGTCATTTTTATTGTATAGTTTTTATTTTAAAGATAATAGTTTTTATTAAACTTGGAAAATTTTCAGTTCTTATTTCTAGAGATATGTTTTCCTGCCCTCTCCTCTCTTCTCCTTTGGAGACTCCGATTTACACATCCATTTAGCTGCTTGAAGTTGTTCACAGAACCCACTGGTGTTTTATTGCAACACTGTTGTTTCAATTGGTATGTCTTCAGATTCACTAATTTTTTTTTTTTTTTTTTTAGTTCTGATTTGCTGTCAGTCCCATTTTCTGCATTTTATTGTCTGAGATATTATGTTTTTGTCTCTAGACCTCTGATTTGTAACTTTTTAGAAATATCTTCCAGGTCTCTCTTTATCATGGTCATGTTTTCCTTTATTTTCTTGAACATATGGAATATTATTATAATAACAATTTTAATATTATATCTGCTAATCTGTGTCATTTTTAATAGCATGAACCTTTGGTTTCTATTAATTTATTCTTCTCACTGTGGGTTATATTTTTCTGCTTATTTGCTTACCTGATAATGTTGGATTGGAGGTTAGACATGGTGAAGTTTGCTTTGTTGGATGCTAGGTGTTCTTGTATTCACAAAGTGTTTAAACTTTGATGTGGAGCTTTGTTGCTGCTAAATTATTTGGAAATAGATTGATCCTTGTGAGGCTTGCTGTTCACATTTGTTAGGTGGGACCGGAGCAGCCTTTCAACGAGGCTAGTTTTGCCTTCCCATCGAGGCAGTCGTCTTCCCAATCCTTCCTGTCTGATGTGTGGTGAGGCTTTTTCACTCTGGCTGGTGAGGCTGTTCATTCACAGCTCTGTGAACTCGAGGTGTTTTACCTGCTCCTTTCCGGTGGTTCTTTCCCCAGCCTGGGGTAGTGTTACCACACGGATGCACTGGTCAGTTCTCAGATGGATATTTGGGAGGGGAAGACCCTCTGAAGATATCTGTAATTTTCTCCCAGTGCAGCCCTCTCCTCTCAGTATTCTGCTCTGTGAGTTCTACCCACCAGAGTCTCTTTGAGCTCCTTACTCTACCAACTAACGAGACTGCCGGGCTCTTCTTGGGTTCCCTTTCCCATGGCTGCGGCCTACAACTCTGTGCAGTGAGCTTGGGCAGTCATAGGCCTTACCTCTCTTTCTCCTCTCTCGGGGATCATTGCCCTTTGCTACCTCTTGTTCAGTGTCTGAAAACTGTTATTTCTGGTATGCTTCCCTCCAGTTTTTTAGTTGTTTAAGTTAGATAAATTAAATTAGATAAATAAGTCTTGCTCTTGTTACTCCATCTTGCCTGGAGGCAGAATTTGAGCAAGTTATTTAATCTCCTATGTTCTAGTTTACTCATCTATAAAATCAAGGTAATTATGGATTTGTGAGGATTGAATAAGATAATAGACATAAAGTACTTAGTACAGTTCCTGGCACATACTAAGTGCTCAGTAAATGTTAGTTGTTATTATTATTGGCACCAAAAACGGGAGAGAATGGCTTGAACCAGTCTGGGAAATTAGGAACGTGAGCTGTTCTTTTTATTTGGACTCACTTTCTCTGCTTTGTAAATATTAAAGCACAAGAGCTATTAGTGGAAATGTTTTCCTCCCTCCCCTTCCATCCTGGCCCCTCCCCTATTTATTTATTATTTTTCTTTACCAGGCCTAAAACATCATTCTTAATCCTCTAATCAGTATAGAGTATTAAGAACCCCTTCACCCCCTTTTTTTAAAAGTCAGAATATATAGCGATTAGGAGCACAGTAGGCAGAGTCAGACTTGAATTGAAATCCTTGCTTACCCTTTTACTAATCTGCACTTTAATTATTCTGCCTGCCTAATCCTCAATTGCCTTATTTGTAAAACGGGACAAACCACATACTTCATATGACTGTTGGGAGAATTAACTAAGTTAATGTACATAAGGCCCTTTAGCACAGTGCCCCTCACATAGTTAGGACTTAGTTTTACTAACAGTAAAGTTCACACCAGAGATCTAAAATCAAAATGACCATATTTAACTCCAATTTTCTAAGCCATGGTTTCCTTTTAGTGGCCTTTTCTTTGTAATATACAACGTAATAATATTTGTATATCACTTTATAGATTACAGAATGTATTCACATACAGTATCTTATTAGGTGCTTGAATCTTTGTCTCTGTATTCCAATGAAGAACCTAAGATTGAGTAAAGATAAGCAATGGGCTCACAGCCATCCAGTTAGTAAATGAGAGAGCCACAACTAGATAGTGATGAGGGAATTGTTTAAGTGTTCTTTGTACTATTCATGTGGCTTCCAAGTGAAACATTTTACTTGTATCTAGATTTACATACTGTAATATCAACAATGGATTTTATATTCTTTTAGGGCAAGGATCATGAAGTACCTTACTATTTTTATTTTGCTTAGTGGCCAGCATTCAACATAGAGATATTTTTTACATGATATCTGTGAAAAAAAACACAAACCCAAACACATAATTTTTCTTTTTGCTGTTTACTCTCCACAAATAAGAGTGATTATTGAGTAAGTAGTACATATTTGTGTAGGATACTATTAAATGGTAATTCTTCAAAATGTAGATGTATAATTACACTCTTGAGAGATTTTAATTTTGAAAGCAAATATCTTCTATGTAGGTAAATTTACTGAATTTTTCCTTTCAGGATAAAGCTTTTCTAGAATCACATTAAAAGGGAGCTGCTATTTGCCAATTTCATGAAAGTTATAGTAATTCCTTTAGTAATTCCATTTATAGGCCAAATGTCCTGGACTAAATATGATTACTTACAGCTAAATCTTATCAAAACAATAAGCTCAAAATAACTTGTATGGAATTTTTTAAAATTAAATCATTATTGTTGATTTCCATAGAATTTAAAGCAAAAAGAGAGGCAGGATGTTTCAAATAATGGATATTTCCTATTGTTTCTTTTGAAAAATAGTTCTAATTTTGAAAAATCTTTATGTTCCAACATTTTGCTTTCAGAATAACAAAACAAAACAAAAAGCACCTTCAACTTTTATTTCATGGTTCTTGCCTACATTTTTGTATCTTTATAGGGAGAGAATTTTCTTTGGGGTTGTTAATTATATGTTACTAGAGGCCCGGTGCGTGAAATTCATGCATGGGTAGGGTCCCTAGGCCTGGCCGGCAATCAGGGCCGATCTGCAGGGCAACTGGCAGAGTGATCAGGGAGCTCCCCCTGCTGGCACCCGCCTTGGCTGGCCTGGCACTGCTCACTCGCCAGCCACGCCCCTGGCTGCTGCTGCTGGCCTGTGGGCTGGGGGCAGCTCCTGCGTTGAGTGTCTGCCCCCTGGTGGTTAATGCATGTCATAGTGACCGGTTGTTCCACCAGTTGTTCTGCCGTTTGGTCTGTTTGCATATTGGGCTTTTATTATATATATCATCATGGCCTATTTGTGGTAATTGATTTTTTCCCTTTACTTCCCTAGTATTAGAACAGTTGTATTATTTATTTATTTAACTAAGTTTTTATTGATTTCTTTTAGAAAGAGAAGAAGGGAGAGGGATAGAGAGATAGAAACCTTGATGATAGAGAAACACCAAAGATCAGCTGCTTCCTGCATGCGCCCTACTGGGGATGGAGCCCACAACCTGGGAATGTGCCCTAAGCGGGGAATTGAACCAGTGACCTCTTGGTTCATGGGTTGACACTCAACCCACTGAACCATACTGGCTGGGCTTATTTATTTATTTATTTTTATTGATTGATTTAGAGAGAAGACAGGGAGGGAGGGAGGAAGGGAGGAAGGAGGGTAAGAGAATCATCAATTTGTTGTTCCATTTATTTACGCATTCATTGCTTGATTTTTGTACTTGACCTGACCAGAGATCGAACCCACAACCATGGCACATTGAGACAATACTCTAACCAACTGAGCTAACTGGCCAGGGCCAATAGTTGTATTCTTTTAAGGAGCCTATTTTGCTCAAAAAAATTTTTTTTTAAAATTTACGCTGCTTACAGATTTAGGCAGAGGGTTGCTATCATGTTCAGAAGCATCATCCTGTGAACTACGTGTACTTATTTGGTAGTTAGTCTTATTGATTTTAGTAGCTCCTGGCCATATGTTCCCCTAGCTAAGAAATCTACATCCGGTGGTCCTTGCTCTCATAATTAAAATACCTAGTGAGTGCAGGTGTTAAACAGTGGTCTTTTGGAAGATGTGATTGGCATCTGCAGACCAGTGTTTTTCATCCTCTGTTCTCCAATGGAAGGATTCTGTCAAGAGCCCTCTAATGCCCTAGCTGCTAGGGCCTAGCACATGCTCAGTGTTACTATGTCAATAAAGCAGCCTGAGCATTTGGGATCCTCTTGATTTGCTCATCTTTTACAAAACATTAGATGCTTATAAGCAATAAAACCTTTGTGTACCGTATAAAGGAAGGGCTTCAAAGGGGTCTGAAAGGTTTAAAATGAAAGTCAAATTCTGAGTTGTTTTTTTAAATGGTAAAATAGGAATAAAAAATGGTCTTATATTTTGATCTTTTCTGTATGGTGAACATCTGGCATTTAGTAGGTGCTAGATAAATGTTCGTTATTGTAATAAATGAAAGGATTCGGTCAGTAATGTGAAGGGACTTACAGCGTGTCAAGTTACCTTTGGGGATGAGCTCACTAATATCTAAGGTTCTCATACTCTCTCTTTTACTTGCTGTGAGTGCTCTTCTGCCCTGCTCTCTGATACTCTTCACCCCTCAGCCCTTTGCTCTATATTAGAATAAAGAGGGGTTCAGCCAAATGCAAACTTCTGCTAGACTGTTCTGGAAGGGAATTAGCTAACCCACATTTTACCGATGGAGGCATTTCTAGTTTTGGAAATGGCTTGTGCAGGGTCACTTGGTCAGTCAGTGTGTGGTCTACATTTCTGTTCTCCTGACTCCAGTGTTTATTCCCTAGAGCACAAATCTTGCTCTTTTCACATTTTAGATGTTTGCTACTAGGACATGTTGGCAGGGGTGAGGGGTCACTGAGATTGATTGAGAGGAAAAGGGAAGGAGAAAGAGAAGGAAAAGCTGACCATCAGCATCCAAGAGTCCCCCTCCTGGCCCTTCTGTTAGGAATAGTAATTGTTTCTACCTGGGGCATAGAACAAAGAGCATAATCTTGGGAAAAATAGACATTGGTATCTTAGACTTCCTTTCATGAATGATAAATAGGACAACCCATGAACAATAG